TGTCGTGGCGTGAGTTTTTTTTACCGCGCGGCGCGGGCGGGTTGGGCCATTCCCCGCTGCCATTGGCCACGGTTCGCCGCTTCAGGTCAATGGGGGCTGCGGGAGGCAGCAGCCAGCACATCCCTTGGCCCACGCCGCTTCCTGCGGCCCCCATTGGCCTGGAACGGGGGACTGCGGCCAGTGGGAGCCGCGATCAGCGGAACCTGCGGACGCTGCAGGTAAACAAACGGCCCCGGCCCACCAGATTTCCCTGTCGGGCCACATGCCAAAGGTTGCCGATCCCGGATATAGTATATTCCAAAGGTATTCAATTGTTTCAGGCGGTGGACCACATTTTAAAAGAGTATTGTCTCATGGATCTGTCTTGTGCCAGGATATGCAGACCCCCTTCCCTCTCATTCACACTCATTTAACACTGTGGCAATGGCAACATTTGTTTACATGGAAAATATCACAAAGTTTTTAATGCATTTTTTATTTGCCTTTCAGGGCAATTTAGAAGGCTGAAACAAGAAATAGCCTTATGTGACGAGCTGGCATGCCACAAATTGCTAGCAAGTGCTTCCAGGACCACCCATGGTCCACAAGCTACAAGTTGAGAACATCTGCTTTACTATTAAGGGAGCAAACCATTTGCACTGAAGGAACAGAAAACAGAAATAAATAAATGTGATACAAAGAAAAAAAATACCATTTTAAGTGGCTGCATTTTGAAATTCAGGTTTAAAGTAACAGGCCCAGGTCTTTTCTGTATATTTTATACTTAAATTTTCTGCTTTCATTTTAAAGTGCTCTAATCTTTGCTCTATGTAGTGTCAATAAATGACCTGGATTGTAAATTATTACAGAAGACAAGCTCTTCTGAGGAGAGTAACAAGCTAGGATCTGTCATTGTTTGTGCGATCTGCAATACAGAATCAGTCTTATTGCTGAAAAAAACAAAACTGTCCACGTCCAGCATTAGCCCTTGTTTAGGCAACATGTATTTTTACCATCTCCCATTTTAGACAGCCTTAGCCATAATGCTAGTATCTCACACGTACAAAAAAGCCAGAACAAACTAGCAACTGTGATTAAAATGACCCAGCTTTCTGGTACTGTTCGTTATAATTGAAAAGGGCAAAACTATTTTTACATTAATACTCTAAACATTTGCTCATAGGTCATCCTGATCACAAAATAAAGTCATGCCGAATGAATAAACACGTGTACCTCAAGCTCCTTCTGGTCAAAAGGCTTTAGTAAGTGTTGAGGAATAAGTTCATTAAAGCCTTTTTGTAGAGCCAGAAACTGTGCCTCAATTCCTCTCATAAATCGCCAGTTTACATACAACCTGGGGGGGGAAAGCCCAAAACAGAAAGTTAGGCGCAATATGCTGGATAGAACTGGGCTTTTTTATATGATCAGAGTGGGAAAGTTTGGTCAAAGACCTATTATGGTCTGGATAGACACATTGTGTTTATGGAAAACTTTTTTTTGTCCATTTTCCTTCCGTAATTACCAGTTCCGTATCAACACAAAGAAAACAAGAACTAACTTTTTTAAAGCTGTTTATTGCTCCTAGCTCTTATGGCACGTATACAAACTACATTGGTATGCCAGGAAGGTATATAAAGATGAAGACTTCATACAAAATCAGGCCAGAAAAGTCAGCACTAACTAGCTACTGTGAATAGGTCACTGGATCTTGTTTGTATCATTCATTACATCTCCCATCAATTCAGAGCATTTGTATTCCCAGCCTAAAGGAAAGCAGTAAATTAATGTTTGAAATGCATCCAAAAAAAAAAGTATTATTCTATACTTAGGTGTTGCAGATTTTCTGAAAAAAAAATCTTAAAGTTCTGCCCTCAACCATCAGTCTCCCTTCAAATACCTATCACCACTTTTAGACATGTTTGCTAAAAGCCAGCTCAGAAATCTAATCCCAAAATGATTTTCGTCATGTTTTTCAATGTCACCAGTAAGAGGACAGAAGTCAACTGAAAGCAGCAATGAATTAATATGTATGATGATAAACAACTAAGGGAGAAATATGAACCTGCTCTCTACATCTGATATAGGTGTGATTTTGAATTTTTTCCTAAAAAGAGATGACCTAGCTCAAACACAAGTTATTGGACACCATCCAGGAATTACTGGATGAAATTCTATGTACTGTGCAATGCTGCAGATCAGATTAGATGATGGGTTCTCAACCAGGGGGTCATGACCACCCTGCGCTTCCCATATTGCTAAATAGAAGGTGGGTCTGGTGTGGTCATATTAGTCCCCTCCTGGCCTTAAAATCCATAAATCTATATACCTTATAAATCCCGCAGCAAAAATGTCCCCAAATCGAAGACACTTAGACCTATTATCCTTCAGAATAGACTGATTTAGTGCCAGCAGAAACTGCTGCCATGCAGAGAACCACAACTCAGGACAGAACTTGGCCCTTCACTCCAATGGCTTTGCAGGGACTTAAGTGCCACGGAATAATTTGCTCTTCCTGATTGAAGGAACGCTGTTTACTTGCTCAGAGAAAGGTCTTCATTCCTTCCTAGACTAAGGAAGAGTCATTATAATGGACACAAGTGGTTGTGATGGGCTGGAAATGGGAACTTTCAGGAAAGCAAAGGATTTCCCAATGTGCTTTTTCTCTGAGAATCTCTTTTCCTCCAAGTCCTAAACAAAACATACACTTGTTCACTAAAAACAATTTTCAGATCTCCCTCCTAATGTGCACCTCTTCATTACTTCCCTTTTCAGATCCTAAGAACTGTACAAAGAACTCATCTTCTCCAACCCCTTCCCGTTATGTTTTGGGCAGCTGGTTCTTCCTGCGGTACCTGACATATTCTTTCTTGTTCTCTTCTGTAACAGGAACATTTCTGCCATTTGGTTTGAGCTCATGCTGCAGAATGCGCCCAAAAGCATTGTGTTCCACACAGAAAGTATGGTCCAACACTGGGGTGATGTCATTCTCTCTGTCAATTAAAAGGAAAATGGGGAAAAAAATGTTAGTTTTTTCCAATCTGTTGATGCACACAGACCAGTTATTTATTGAACACTTAAGTTAATCTGTGGAGTGAAGGGTCCATCTCCCATCTTTCACAAGCCCTACATTTACTGTTTCCTAAGTTGCCTCTCTCGTGTATAGCCTTGTGGGTTTCAGAAGTCCAACGTATGTGTTAGTTTCCCTTTTCTCTACACACCCTGCTAGTAAACAGACAGTTAATTTGTTAAATTTAAAATAAAATTAACTGATTTTTTGCCATATTTCAACACAAAGTATTAGGAAGATCATGTAACTTTCTGCACTGCTGGTGAATTGACCATGAATTAGAACATAAAAGGAAAAGCTGCATTGATAAAAATTATTTGCCTTATGACCAATGAAACTTTGAAATTCCTTCAAATATATCTGACTAAATCTAAGAGGATGTGAATATAAAAGATAATTTCTTATATATGTCTAAAGCAGTAGAACCAAGGGCATGCTCCCCCACTGGTTGTTTCCCAAGCAATCACACACAGAATTCATTAGATTTTGATATAAATAATTTCCACAACTAAACATTAGGTGACTAAGGACAAGGTTATGATTTCATTGAAGGATCCAGCAAGAGCTGAGTGGTGTTTGTATAAGAGCTTTCCTTCACAAGTACCTTGAATTCTTGGATGGGGAAGCAGAGGCTAGGAAATAGAGTGTTTTTGCAAAACCTGCTCCACTGTGAAGGCTCTCTTTTAATGTGATATCTTACTACCCCTGAGGTCTGGTGCTCAGTCTTCTATAGTTAAGTACTTGATAAATGAATAGTACTTACAAAATCCAAACTAAACTCTTGTGCAGTTCTGGGTCAACAGATTCCAGATCAGATAGCTGAATGGGTTTCCCCAGCAGCTGTTTGTAGAAGGGAACTGTGAAACCCCCATTGATGTAGTGTCCATGGAACACAGCTAAACCCATTATCCGACCAACAAAATGGAAATATGACAAGTGATCCTGCAGGGGACACAGAAGAAAAAGAATAAATCATTGGAAAAGCAGTCCAATGCTGACACCTTGTGGCTATATTTATGCTAGTAGCAATGACTTGGTATCCAAGGATTTGCAACCTGCTGGGCACCAAGGTATGTCTATACTGCTATGTAAGCCTGGGCTCACTCAGGTTTGAGCCCATATCCCCTTCTGTCTACACACAACTCTCTCAGACTCTGGCTCAGACCTATAGTCCTAGGTTCCTGCAGTACTGGAGGGTTCAAACCCTTCTGCTTTGCAGTGTAGATGCAGCCTCCCGACTGAAGTCCTAGAAGTCCACCAAAAATATCCCACAATCCCATGGGTCAACTTCCTTTGTCTTCTCTATCCCAAGAGCCGCCAGCTGACTGCAGGGAAATGGGAGCATCTGCCCCCCTCCCACTTGTAGCATAGCAGCTTGGTGGGTCAGTGAGCTGCAAACACACCATCAGAGAGCCTTCTGTGTTTGCAACGGAGACTGAACAGAAGAAGTGAGTGAGGCCAGCGAAATGAGACCGCTGCTGAAACTGGGCCCAGAGGAGGCTTTGCCCCAGGAGCAGCACAACCTGGGGCCACACTTCGAGGAGCTTTTTGATGCCCCCCCCTCACTCCTAGGAACAGCCCATTCTCTCAAAGCCAGCAATTACTTCAGGAATATCTAGTATGCTCAACACGCTGGAGTAAACCACACACCTGATTGCCTCAGAAATCTCTGCCACCGCTTTACTCACAGTTGATTTTTCCAACACCAAACTGGTTGGCAAAGAACCTGTAGCAGTCTGGGGTAGCCAGCCTCCAGAGTGTTACAGCAACCTGCTTCTGGACCAGCGTGGCTGTCCTCAGGTGTGTGGCTTGATGCTGGGGGAGTAGGGCAAGCTGCTCACAAAGCTCCAGAAATGTAGCTTTTCTTCATGTGAAAATTCTGAACCCAGTGCTGGTCATCCCCTGTCTGCATGATGATGTGGTCCCACCAATCTACGCTTGTGGCTCTGCTCCAGAAGAGCTGATCTACATAGGGGACATCAGCAGCTATACTGAATGTCATGTGCGGCATCAGCCTCTTTAAATCTACCATGTTTGTGTTCTCCTTGTTTTCTTCCTCCGCCTCCATCATAAGCTCTATCAGGTGCCTTTGGTGGACCAGAAAACACCACTGAAATGTCCACCAGCATCTCACAGAAGCTCTGCCTGTTTCCTGACACAGGAGTGAAAGCACAAGCAATAGAAGTGCTGCCTCCATGTTGCTGGTTCTGATAGCTGAGAGCGCACAGACCAAAATGACTAATGGGCAGGATGCATTAGCTGGCTGTTCAAACTTCCTGTAACATGCAGGGTGGACAGTCAAGTTTCCCCACAGTGCACCATGGTCAAAGGGCTAAAAGCTGCCACGTTTCAGGAGTCACTGGAAAGTCTGGGATATGGTTGATGGGACTCAGGCCTGTACGCAGCACTGCGGACACCAGAGCTCTGAGTTCAAGCCTGGGATAGAAAATTCTTAATGTACGGTTGACAATCAGTGCAGATGAGCAAGCCCTGGGTTCTCTAACCCAGAGTCAGCTGATGTGAGTCCCACTAACCTTGGACTTAAACTGCAGTGTAGACATATCCAAAGAGTCATTCTTTCACCTACAGTCATATGACCAAGCACAAAAGAGCCATTTAATGATAAGAGGTTACAGAAAATATCCAATGAATTAACTGGGTCAACTTAATTTGGAAAGGTCTCCACACACCAGCTGAAGGGTCCAAAATCGAAAAAGGAAATGCAAGAATATGAACCCAAAGAAACCCATTAGAAATAAAAGCAGAAGGGAAAATCCAAACAAATCAAATGCTTGTCTTGTAGAATATCAGCTTCACCCGCAACTCTTATTGATAATTTCTTCTGTTGGAAGTTGGCAAATTTCATCCAGTTCTAGACCATCCACATGTTGCTTATGCTTGCAGGTTTGCCTCAGTTTTTAAGGAGTAGGCTTTTTCAACCCGAGGCCAAATTTCTTCCAATACATCCTCTTGCACAGTGCCACCTATAACTTGTCAACACTGCGATTTTAGTCACTGATTTAACTGCATGAGGTGTAAATCATGCCTATGCTAGGGGTCTGCATCAGTGCAGCAACAACATCTAAAATCACAAAATACACAAGGGTTTACTCTAGATTCATAGGATTATAATGCCAGAAGGGACCAGGGGTTCTCAGGACAAATTATTCGGTGGCCTCAGAGTGTGGCCACCAACTCTTGCTGGTGGCCACACTCATACTTTTCCCTAAAATACTTAATTAGCTTTAGGAAAAACAAATAAATACGCAAATATACACATCCAGATAATTGTATTTTATTTATTGCTAGCTAGTAAGTCTGTTGTGAAAAGGGATATTAACAAACATACAAGTATCAGTGCATTCAGGAGCAACAGGGAGGGGGAGGGGTCACTGCTTCTTCTCCCCCCAACTCCCTCTAAATCACAGCCCAGGAGGCTGTGGCCGCAAGAAAAGCCCCTGGTGGCCACATGCAGCCACAGTGGCCGCATTTGATATGCGCTGATCCAGTCTGACCTCCTGCATAACACAGCCAGAGGTCCTCCCTGAATTAATTTCTGTTTGAACTGAGAATATCTTTCAGAAAAACATACAATTTTTAAATCAAGACCGGAAGTGATGGAGAATCCACCACAACCCTTGTTAAGTTGTTCCAAAGATTAATTTCCTGTCCGAGTCTGTCTAGCTTCAACTTCCAGACATTGGATTTCGTTATACCATTGTCTGCTAGACTGAATATCCAATCCTCACATTTTTGTTCCCCATGTAGGTACTTATAAACTGTGATTAAGTCACCCCTTAATCTTCTCTTTGTTAAACTAAACAGATTGAGCTCGGAGTCTTTCACTATAAGGCATAGCTCCCAATTCTTTAACCAGTATCCTTGGCACTTCTCTGAATTCTATCCTGTTTATTAATATCCTTTTGAATTGTTTACCCCACAACTGGACATAGTGTTCCAGTAGCGACTGTACCAGATGCCAAATACAGAGGTATATAACCTCCTCACTCTTACTTGAGGTTCCCCCATTTATGCATGCAAGGATCACATTAGTTCCCAGTGTGACTCTGGACAGAAGGGCTAATGTTCAACTGACAATCCACCATGATCCTCAAGTCTTTTTCACAGTCACTGCTTCCTAAAATAGAGGCCCCCATCTTGTAAGTATGACCTACATTCTTTGTTCCTAGATGTATAACTTTACATTTAAGCTACATTAAAGAGTATATTGTTTGTGCTCAGTTTGCCAAGCAACCTAGATCACTCTGTATCAGTGACCTGTCCACCGCGTTATTTACACTCCCCCAATGCGTGTGTCATCTGCAAATGATCAGTGATGACTTCCAGGTCACTGACAAAAAAGTTAAATAGTATAGGCCAAGAACCAATCTCTGTATACCTCACTAGAAACACACCCTCTCAATGATAATCACCAGTTTATAATTACGTATTGAGACCTGTCCATGAGCCACTTTTTAATCCATTTAGTGTGTCATGTTTAATACTGTACTATTCTAGTTTCTTAATCAAAATGTCATGTGGTACCAAGTCAAATGTCTTAAAGAAGTCTAAGTTTATTACATCAACACTATGACCTTTATCAACCAAATTTGTAATCTCAAAAATCTAAATTAAAAATCTAAATCTCAACCGACCAGGTGTTTAATAGTACCAAAGAATCTCACATGACTGCACACAGCAGTGCTGACATACCATAAACCACACACTACTTCCGGTACATCAGTCTAAAACTCGCTATCGCATTAGTTCACATCCCGTCACAAAGCTTTATTGTTTACCCTCTTAAGATTGGACAATTATTAACAGAAGTAGAAGTGTGATTGAGCTCCCATTGAAGTTTAACATATATTATTATTGCCCTAATGTTAATACTTACAGGATTGATAGAAGAGTCTGGATTGATTTGCAGCATGTAAATATTGTCAGTAGAGTACTGGAAGAGTCCATAATAGGGATTCAACATTTCATGGCACAGTAAATACAACCACTCTCTGCCAAACAAAGCAGGATTTTAGTGAAAGTTTCACTGAAATTTCAAACATTTATTATAACTCTGTCAAACAGTCTTGAATGATTTATTTTCAATATCCTATCAGAAATCTGATCATCTATATTGCCTAGGGTGGAGGACTATAAAGCTTCCTCTAGGAAGCCAGGAAAAGTCTGGCTCATTCACATACAGATTTTGATTTTACTTTAGAAGTATTGTCAAGGAAATTAGCATTAATTAAAAAAAAAAGAAAAGGGAAAAACAGACTCTAGTAAGCCATTAGGGTAATGTAATTGTAACTCAGTCTTCACCTGAACCATGGAACTGAGTGTGATCAAAGGAAAACAAATTGCTGGGTCATTTAATCAATGGATTAACTGGAGCCCTCCTAACCTGAGGCGCTCATAATATTTCCAGATGTGTGTAACTTTTGGTGCAGAGCTAGCTATCTGGAAGGGTATGAGGCACCACTGGGCAACCTTAACTATACATTAAAGTTTTTGAGCTGTTAATGTGGATTTAGGTCATATGTTCAAGTAATTGATTAAATGATGTAGGAGCCTGAGCCCCACTGACTTTCCTTGAGCTTTAGGCTCGTAAGCCACTTGTGTGCTTTTGAACATTTTACCCACTGGTGCCTTAATTCGGCACCCAATCTTGAAAATTACAGATTGATATATGCATACATTTGAGAACACATACAAACATGAGTTTTGAGGAAATGTTCAGTTTTGGGCCAATGATGTAATTGAAGGGACATCAACTTGAATTAGTTTTTTTTTTTTTATAAAGTTTTCAGTAGTTTCAGGTACTATACATCTGCCGCACCAATGGGTTGTAGATTTACAATCACATTTTCCTATTTAAAAATATGTTCTTCTAAGTCCTCTTGCTGTGTGCCAACCATACAAAGCTGACAATTTGGAAGAAAAGTGTGATTATACAAAATATGCCCAAATGAAAAGAGATTTATTTCAAACCTACTTCAGTTATAAAATTTTTAGGTATTATCACTAACAATAGTAGGAAAAATTTTCAGACTTAAGTGGCAGTTCTATGTTGACAGTATTCCCTCCAAAATGATCTGCAATTCAACCTGTGTTTTCCCACACTTCCAGTAATAAAAGCCAAGAAGGAAGGCGGCAGCAAAACAAACACACAGTAAATATTTTGCATAAAGGATATCGTACTAAAGCAAACTGTATTACCAAGTGACTCATTGTAAGAAAAAGCAAGGTTTTAAAGTAATATTTAAAGGGGAAATGACTCAGAAGTACTGAGGTGCTGGAAGGAAGAGTCACAGACAGTAAAAAAGCAGCTTCCAATTGTTACGCATTAATGTGACATGAAAAAGGAGGGGCAAAACCAAAAGGAATAAAGCAAACAAGAAAAATTACAAGCAGAATTTTGTGGGAAGTCAGTTTTTGGATGGAATATGGAGATAGATAGGATCTTGATGAAAGTAATGGGGGTTATACAGTTCCACTATCTGGAACAAGAGAGTAGTCTAGCTACATAATTCTGGATCCTCTGAAGTTGTATGCAGAGATTTTGGGCAAATCATAAAAAAGATATGGAACAGCATCTGTCTAGACAGGAAGTGATTAAGACCTGAATAAACATTGAGGCAGAGGCATTGTCAGGGTAAAGATGAATTCTCACAGCATGTCAGTGGTGGCAACAGGTGTAGGTCACTAAGCATTTTAAAGGCTGTTTTACAGTTAAACTAAAACATTCCAGACAGAAAGGACTAAAAAAAAAAAATCCAGGTCTCACCTTGCCACTCCACCATAATCCAAGCCTTCTTCTCCTCGAAATTTCACCATCAGCCTCTTTTTCAAGTCTTTTGGCCTCATCTTCATTATCTGACGGTAGGACTCCTATATAGATTACAAAGAAGACAGTTCTTTCCTTTCCATGGTTAGAAGTTTATTATAAACCACTAGAACCATATAGGTTGCCATTCGAGTCAAGATTTCCCCAGTATAATGCATTAGAGTATTTCATGGCTGGTGTCAATGTGAACTCCAATAACATCCCACCAGTATTACTGTTAAATAGGAGAAGATACATGGAGTCTGATTCTATACATTCAGATGTGTTTTCTATCTTCAAATGCTCTTAATGTTATTCGTTCCTAGAATAATAAGAGACTTCCCCAATTAAAGTAAATCTTTCCATGACTGAAAAGCACAAGCAATAATGTCAATGATAGAGATGGACTGGAAATACAACTAAGGGATTTCACAAAGAAAAATTGGTTAGATTTTAACAAATTAATCTGAAAGTGTCATATTCAATTCTTGACAGCTTGTAATTTTAGCTAAAGAGGGTCAAGTTTGCTGCAAAGTCTACAGAAAGAAAAAAAGGTTTCAGTGAGACTTGTCTGACAAGCTGCACAAGCGTGGAAACACCAGCAAAGACTTCTCTCTGTATGGCACATTCTAAAAACGTTTTCATAACATCACAACCTTATATTCAACATTTGAACCTCAGCAGTTAACATTTTCCTCAATGTTATTCCCTTATATTTTCATACCATGCTGCACTACATTTAAAAAACTCTGTCGGTGTTGAGTTGCATGACAGCTTCTGGCCTACCCTCCCCACACTCCTAAAGGAAGGGGGGCGGGGGAGAATACCCCAAACAAGCTAGGGCTCTACTCACAAACTGAAACTCAGAGTTAAGAAGGTAATAGGATAGGTCTGCTACCCAGACAGAAAGTTAAACAAAAATAGACAGATAATTCAATATGCTCTGAGGTGGTACTTCAGCTGCACTTCTCTAGCTACAAATTTTAGTCAGAAAAATAATCCTGCAATTTTGTAGTCCAAGCTTATGTTTTACGGCAGCTTTATCTCCTTAGCCATGTTACTTCAGTGTCTACCCTAGGATGAATCAGATTCACTGTAACCAAAGAGCAATTTTACATAAGAACTAACAGCAGCATTTGACTCTCATCTCACCAGTGATGCACAAACCTACATACCTCAAATATTTCTTCTCTGGATACTTCAATGCGGCAGTGACCAGCTTGTGGTTGCTGAAGAGAGAGTTCATGTCTAAGGACTTTTAATTTCTGTACTAAGTCTCTTTCATATCTTTGTGCAGGCAACTCCTCACCATCTTCTAATGACCCCTCATTTGGGACTGGCAAAGGCTGGCTCGGTTCTTTTAGTTGGCATTGATGGCTTTGGAAAAAAATGATGTAAAACATTTACTCTAAAAGCACAGCCGTAGAAAATGTGGCATAATGTGATGGTCATGGCAATGAAAGAACTAGTTAGCCTCCCTTTTCATTAATACTGAAATGAAGCAGAAAGTGGACCGAGCAGGGTAATTACTGCAGCCTGGCTGCCTTTTATTGGAGGCTGTAGCAAATCAGGATACGTACAAAAGCTGAGATAACTCAACTATTCCAAATTCAATGGTTCATGATGATGATATTAATTAAGAAGTTCTGAAAGGCAATATTATTCACTGTTGTACAACGCTTATATTGACTGCTGACTGAACAGTGATGAAAAATGTCATTGACTTCTCCAACATTGAGACCACTTTAAGAGCTATGACATTCCATAACAAAACTGTTTGCATAAGAGCTTTATAAATGAAACAGTTATTTACATTCTCATCGCATTTTACTTGTGCTCCATGCAAGTAAAACAAGTAGCACCAAAATGAGGTAGTAAATACAGTATCTATTGTTAGGCTTAAAAAAATATACTGGTGTCAAAGAGTTACAGCATTATATCTAAATTTACTGATTATGGACAAAGAAAAAGCTAAGCTATTTTTAAAAGATACACCTCTACCCCGATATAACGTGACCTGATATAACACGAATTCGGATATAACGCGGTAAAGTAGTGCTCCGGGAAGGGGGGGGGCGTGCGTGGCTGCGCGCGCCGGCGGATCAAAGCAAGTTCAATATAACGCGGTTTCACCTATAACGTGGTAAGATTTTTTGGCTCCCGAGGACAGCGTTATATCGGGGTAGAGGTGTACTTCAAACCACAGGAGCCTAAAATTAAAAGATGAATTCTCTACTGTGAGAAGTTCTTACTTCATGATGTGATGTAATCTTGGGTCTGTGAACTGTGTGGTTCTGTTATTGTGATCTACAAAATATATTCTTCCAGATACTGTACTTCTCACTTCCCAACCCGGTGGCAGAGGTCCGAGTTCATCGCAATTCACACTGTTAAGGTCTCTAGAGAGAGGAGACGGAAAAAAGTTAGAAAGTATTGGTAACTAAAAGAAAAACAAATTACTCTGAAAATAAGATGAGTAAACTTGGAGTTTATGAAGGCGAGGGGAGATTGGCCCCCGTCTTACATGGCATTCAGTTTTATTCGTTATGCAAGAAACCCAGATATTCAAATAGGAGGGATAGATCTGAAAACCAGGAATACTATAAACACCTTGGAGTGATAGCAGAAAGCAAATTAGACATGAGTTTGCAATACAATATGGCAGCAAAAAAAGGTCAGTGTTGACAGTGTCGTTTTGGGCTACACATTTAGAGGCACATCATCACAGAGCAGTGAGATAATAGACCCTATTTGCAACTGCATTTGGAAAATTGCATTAATTTCTGAACATCTCGTTAACACAAAGAATGAGGAATTGGAAGGAGTTCGGAGTACAGCAATAAAAGTGATTAGGAGCCAGAGGGTTAGAACTGAAGAATAATTGAGAACTAAATATGGATACTTGGTTAAGCAATTAAATGGGGAATATTTTCAAATGGCGTAAACACCATGCAGGGATTTCTCATGGGAAGATGACAAATCAGGATATGTACAAACGCTGAGATAACTCAACTATTCCTTTAAACACTACAAGGGGCTTCTTCCCAAAAAAACTACAGCATTCATAAACTTAAGACTATAAATTGCAGTGTTCAAAAACCCAGACCATTAAAAACTGAAGTGGCTGACTATTCCCACTATCTTTTTGAAACTGTTAGTGATAAAAATAGGCACAAGCAGGCAAGAAGATCTCTCACTTCTAATTAGCAAGTTCCTGATTCTAACCATAGGATTAATAATTTCAGTAGAACTCATTTATTCAGGGAGGCATTGTTGACAACATTTTCCTTTTCATTCTAGGTAATCTCAAATGTAATTTTTTACAAGTGCTATTGAAGACAGTACACTTACTTACAGGTAACATTTCAATTCTATTGACATGATGTATTACACATGCAGAATTGCAAAGGCAGAGGACTCCAGCATCCTAAGTATAGGAAAATACTAGTAGGGGCAAAAAAGGGATGGAGTCATTGAAGACTATTATTTAGATACCAAAGCTGTTCTCATTAATAAGGAAGTGAAAAATGCACTAGATAGCTGTTATGATGCACATTTTATCAGCATTCAAGATGTTGCCTGACAGATATTCTGAATGGGAATATTCTTAAATCTAGCTATACATTATGAACATAAGTCAGTGGATTGTGAGGCTATAAGGAAAGCACATTTTATAGACTCTAAGCTTCCTTAGTGCAGGAAAAAGCAGGGAACAGGCCTTCGTCAGGTTTTTCTAAAGGATTTCAGTTATGGCTATGTGTTTAGATCAGCTGTGCATCTGAAACCGTAGTTTAGTGATCTGATCACATCCAATTTTTAGTGTACATTTGTGCTAAATGGCAAGGACAAGATTATGAAGTCTTGTTTCAAAACAGGTAAAGAAAGAGAACAACCTTTGCTAAAAAATAAGACAAATGTTATCGTCACTAGTAAGACACTGTGACCTGTTTACTTAAACTGTTGTTCTTGAAAGCCTGTCTCTGCACTCTGCTTCCTCTATCCAGTATCTTGCATTACTCCAGTTAGTTATGTTGTCTGCACAGTGAGTAGAAAGTTGCAGACTTTCATAGTTTCACTTTCCAGGTTTTGGGGCACAGACAGCCTATAGGAAGATTATGGAGAAGCAAATCCCCTCAGGGAAACTAGCCAGCGATGGATGTATAGTCACAAGAGACTGGATTAGCACAGGCTAATTCTTTAAAGAGGCTTTATCAAATTAATTTTGTGGATGATTCATATTTTCCCAGCTGCAATTTGTTGGTCTGAAATAAAGAGACTTTTAAATAGTTCTTTAAAAGTAATTTTTCAAGCCCCTAGAGTGTAGAATTGGCAAAATATTTGCGCTTCAATTGCACAAAAAGTGAGAAATACTATGATTGAAGACATCAACCAACCATTCAGGAGTCAGAAGTTATCAGTAGCTTAAAGCCAGCAGAATTTAGCTTTTCTCAGTTGAGCACTCAAACGGTTCTCAGTCTCAGAAACATTTTAGGTCAGATTCAACAAAGCAATTTGCAACTTTATTAAAAGGATCAAGTCAAATCAATGTTTTATCAATGTGACTTCAGTAAGGGTTACATGATGTTTTTACTTGATTTAAAAGTCGCAGGTAGCTAATTTTTAATTAATAAGTAAGTAACCTGAGGGGATTGAATTAAAGTCAATAAAGAAATCTACGATGATTCCTTATTCTGCTGTCTCTCAGAGTAGGAACCACTTCATATCATCAGCACTTAATGATTCAGCTGACTGCCATAAGATGAAAATAACTGACTTTGTATAGCTATGAATACATACCTTGGTATCCTGGGGTCATGCCACGTACTAACTCCAGTCTGTGTGTGCAAAAAATAAACCTGTCCCTGTACCGTTGTCCTTTGTTCTACATAAAGGAGGGAAAATATTCCTTAATTATTCTAAATTATAAATTCTTAAAAATCTATAAGCAGTTTCTTAAAGCTATAAGCATGTTCTTTTACAACAGAATCAGGGAGAGAACAGATTACTTGAGCCATCCAGTCTGATCTCTCTCACTTTGGACTCAATAGTATGTTCCACTATCCAACTGTTCTTAATATTTCTAATATCTTAAATTCAGATTACGATGCCTTGAACTAATTCTCTTCTTTTCTATTGTGGTGATTATTATTACTATTTTAAAATAAACTAGATAATTGCCTCACTCCCAAATCTGGTGTCATCTTTTTTCCTAGATAAGATTTAATTCTCCCTCTCATCTTATCCTCTGATCCTTGTTTCTTTGTTGCCTTTATATTTTCCTATAGTGTTTCTAGCTCTTTTCTAAACTATGGGCCTCAATCCTGCACAAAATATGCCATAGGGAAAGCAAAATAGCACTACTACTCTAGTTTAAAAGTGTTTTAAATGCACTCGCCATGCATAAACATTCAAATTTAGCATTAGCTTTTCTGCAACAGCATCACACCACAAACTCATGTTTAGTTTACTATCAGCGCTAGGTGTCTCTTGCAGTAGCTGTTTTCTAAAGCAGCCATTCTTCAGTTTATATCTGTACTGCTTATCTCGTGTCCCTAAATACAGACCGTTACAGATATACAGATATTGCCTGTACTAACAAGTAAAGCATGTATTTTATACTAAACTTAAGGAAATTTAGATATAACGCTCTCTAATAGACTTCAGCAAATGTACAGTTCCGGAAACTCTTACCATAACCTTCAGGTAGGTCAGGTGACTGATGACCATGTGGTCTATTCTGAGGTGTTTGTACATGACCTCTGACTTCGGGGTTTCGAAGTCGCTGTGCCTGAAGCCTCTGATCTTGACTAGGAGATTCCACAAACCTACAATTTCCTCCACCAGCAGCACCAGTACTATCTGTATATGGTGCTGGTTCCTCCATAAAACAGCTGAGTGGCCTTCCAGGTCCAGAATCTTCATAAACCGTTCTGAAAGCAGGGATGCTCACAAAATTAACACAATAAAGGCTTGTATACAAAGGGCTAATTTTCTTCCTCTCCATTATTTGATTTGAATGAACTGCAACTTCTATGACACACACTATACCCTAACTTTTTTTTTTATATATATACATATATACACACACACACACACATTATATATATACACACACACACAGAATTCAATATATGTTTATGTGTATGCGCACACATGTATGTATAAATATATAATTAAACTGTGTGATTAGCAATACAGACAAATTTATAAAGAAATGGTCTGGAAATACATCGTATCTATCTCAGGACCATTTCTTAATTAATTTGGCTGAATTACTATTCACAAGAATTCCAGATTTTATTCTTCATAAGCGTAATACATAGCATGAACAAAAATACAAAAATACCATGAATGGAATTAAGTGAAACTAAATACTCAGCAGAATTATCAGATGTGATACTTACCCTTCGTTTTCCAACAGCCCTCTACAATCTACCACAGAACCTCCTGAGCCTATTCTGTCCCGTGTCTGTAAACTGACTGAAATAGAAAGAGGAAAATTGAAGACAAATCCTGCCATTCCAAGAATGCATTTTATCATCAATAGTTCACATCTGCACTACTAAATATTTTATTAAGTGTTTTTGATTAAAAAAAGGGATAGTATTTCCCAAATGCAAACTGCTAGCATCACAGCTCCAAAAGCTAGGCTGTCTCTTCCCTATGAATAATCCAAGCTAGCATTTACTTTGTTATAAATATGGACTTTTTTATTTATCAGCATTCACAAAGGTTCTAAATCTCTTCTGTGAGTACTGAGTCAAGGATGCCCGGAACTAGAACTTTATTTACCACTAGATGTCACCACAATGGAGAATTAAAATTTTTGCCAATTACATATTCCCTCCTTCAGTGAAGAGGAGTCAGGAAAAAATACAATCAAATCCCCTTTGTCTTTAAGTTGAAGGCATACTTCAAAATATTTTAAAAACACAGAGTAAAATTTGGGCTAAATGCTCCAAACAGAGCAAGAGAAAAAAAAAAAAAAAAGGTCTAATCAATTGTTAAGTACCCCAAGTCATAGATCACCAGCTCACACTATGAGATGGCTAGGCAGGCACACTACTGCAATGTCAAAACAACAATTCACTGTCAGGTGGTGTTCTCAGGAAAGTGCCTTAAAAATGGTGTTCTGCAAAGTGTTTATATCCCAATATCTTCCTTTAGAGTTGATAGTACCACTGAATTCCTGTTATATATCACCTTGGCCCTACATGTACAATTTGTTTTCCATGGAGAAAGTTTACCCTAAGTAGCTGTATTAGAACCACCACCAAAATCCTCCATTCCTACTTATTCATACCAATTACCCTTACAATTACCAGTTGGAAGAAAGCAATTTAGATAAGGATTAAACAAATTTCAAATGATCTAACTTAGTCCCTGTTCATTTACAGTAACCAGGACATCTAATTAATATTAGTATAAGGAACACAAAAGGGGATTGAAGCAATAAGTGACTTCAGGAAATGATGTTTGCTAAAAAAAAAATCTTTCAAAGTTTTTCCCTTTTAGCATCCATCTGAATCTTGTTTTAATCCAAGGAGTTGTAAGTTTGAACTATAACTGCTTCTTTTTATACAGACAGGAATGTTCTTACCCACTATTTGGCCTCGTACTGCATCAGTATCTGTGGGGTTTAATTTGCATAGATCCAAACGCTGGTCTGCAAACGAACAATTAAAAAAAACTCAACCCAAGCAAATATTGAACTGAAGATAAAAAAGTTAATATTCACAACTCAAATATATAGCAAGGATTTTTGCAAAATACATTTTTTAAGATGCATGTAAAAAAAAATATACTAACATCCAGTATCTTTTAGTCTGCTGATGGCATTGGAAAGGAGACGGACACACCCCAGGAAGCCAGCTCCCTGTTTCTTGTGTATTTTCTTGTGATTCCATACACTGATGGTTATAGAATCTGTTTTCCCAACATATCTAGAAAAAATATATATTTAGAAGAGATTAATTCAAGCTTGTTCTTATTATTCTACAGTATTTTCACTTTGCTCCATGCAGATTGAATTCTTATATATTTTAGTCATGCGGCTTTATCATAAATACAGAAACACTTAATCTTGCTATGGCATTAATTAGAGTGCTGTAACTTTGCACAGCATGTTAACGTTACAGCATTGGTTAATTACAGACAACCTCATAAACACACATGAATTCCAAACTTATTTCTTTTAGATCTGTGTTTATTATTTTGAAAACATTTTAAATCACTGCAACAAGGAGAATGTTTGGAAATAACTTTGATGCAGGAATCTAGCCAAGCTTGAGTCAAAGCTTTCATGCTATGTTTGAAACACCTAGATGCTTTAAAATCATGCCTAAATAATTATTTGTTAAAAAGTGTCCATAAAGAAAAAGAAAACCCTTCAAAAACATTTGAAGAACTGCAAGTGATTGTAAAGTCAAGCTTCCTCAGGAAGTGTGGCTCTTCTTGCTAACAGATGGGGGAAAAGGTGGCTTGCTTATCCTTGTGTTTTACTTTCCAGATAGAATCATGCAATGGTTTTACAGAATAAGGAACTCACAGATCATAATGCTGGTTCCACTTGGGGTCTAATGTGTTCTTCACAGTGTCAGTTGAATGGCACTGACCTGATCCGTCTACTACTATTTTTGCAAATGGATCAGGAAGTCCTATGGAAGGAATGTGGGGGAGAGAAAAGGTACAATTAGAATCACAGTGCCAAATTAATAATTGAATACACACACACACACACTTATTAATTACACTTACACACACATTTTTAATGCATCAGAAACTGAAAGAAAAAAAACTATCACAAGTTTCAGCAAGCTACCTTTCTGTAATTTTATATAGGACCAATAAAGTGATGACCATAATTTGACCTTTGTACTATTTTTTTGTTGGTTCAGTTTTCCTTTTTTATCCCAATTCTGCCATGAGCTTTTAACATTCTTGTAAGGAAAAATTTACAGTTATCCTAAAATTCTTTTTGTAACTTAAATACAGTTTCCATTCCTAGGATCAGATTTTTTTTTATGACACAGATTTGCTTAACATAATTCTAACCTGTAGCAAATTTTGAAATTCTTTAGGGGAAAAAACATTAAATACTGCTTAAGTTAAAACAGTATTTCATTTAAACAAATACCTTCATTAGTATCTATGCATTTCTATGCACTCTTTGGTATGATGTTTAGGCTCCAGCACTTGTATGGTATTTTATAACCTCAGAGTGCTTTACAAACATAACTGTTACCACCTCTTTTGAGATCAGTATTATGCCTCTTTTACATAGACACAGAGGTAAGTAACATCAGTGGTAGAGTCAGGACTAGAATTATTGTGTCGCCCCCCCCCCCCGTTCTCCCCACCCCCCCAGTCTTGTATTTAGGCTGCCTGTCTACATTATATAGTAATATGAACCTAAATAGTAACCCAATGCTACTGGCAAACGTGGAAGTTATCCCTAACTCTCTCTCACAAAGAAACAGACATGCATAGAAGTTAGGACAATAACAATGTATAGTTTAAAAATACAAGTGTGAGAACAATACCATAAAGCTATTTATACAGTATTAGAAATCTGTCAGTTATACTTACTGAAGAAATCTTTTTTTGCAAGATTCTTGGCACATAATACTGCAAAACAAAAATATCAGATTAATATATCTAAAAACCTTTTATAAAAATAGCTTCAACATCCATAATGATTAGACACTAAAAATTCTCACTCTTGATCTTAACTTAAAACTGAGCAAGTTAAATATCAACACTGCTTTTTTTGCATTCAAAATTTGGAATCAGTATAGTCTCTGCATGCACTCATGTATGGAGGGAGTTGAATTAATATCCTACTGCATTTACACTCATATCTCAATGCTGACCACATACCAAGAAAAATAAAATAAAATAAAAGGAAACTTGGTCTTTATGAACTTTTGGCATGAATTGTTTAATATGACAAAGACCAAATTCAGTATCTTTCAAAGTGTGCCAGTTTTGCTGAACTTCCCAATGCAGAAAGCGCTCTCTGTATTTTATATTTACATACATAAAAGTGACTTCTCTTGCCTCAGGTCCACCCATTCAGTTTGTTGGTCATAGCTTTTCAAGCAGTTGTTACTGTACTGTACCAGTAACTTTTTTAGAAGTTTTGCACCTACCCTCCTACTGAACCCCAGCTTACTCTACCTCAATCTGCCAGCAAATTCCACTCTTGTAGGCAAAGGTATTTTTACATATAATAAAATAAGATAAAAGAGGAAGAAAAAAAAAGCACACACTGCAATAGCGCTCAAGGGGTCTCCAATGCAATATCTTTTTGCCCTAGATATAAGACAAGACCCCATCCAAGGGAACAAAGCCAAAAAAGCATCCAATTATCCATGACGTTCTTGAAGATCCACAAATCAGACATTTGCCTCTCCCCAATTCTACAGAAAAGGATAGCAGAGTACGCAGAAATGAAGGAAGTAAGGGAAGGAAAGACTTTGGTCTGACTATCTCCACTTCTGTAAGGTCCTCTTCTGTTCAAGACTCCAATCTTAATTCTACAGTTCAATAGGACCTTTTCAGTATCCAGTCTAAATTCAAAGGATTTGTCCAATATTCATTAAACTTCTATATCAGGCTAGGAAGCATAACCACTGACTGTCAAATATTAACTTTAATATCTTCAAGATATTTAAGTGTTACTTAAGGTGTGTGTGAGAGAGAAAGTAGGCTAGCTATACCAGTGTTCAATTTATGTATCACTAACCACTTGTTGAGAAGGTCCCCTCTATATCAGGATGAGACTTCTGGACACAAGTAGCAGGATGCTTGTATAATGCTTATGCCATCACTCTGCCTATCAACATCTCTCCTCATCTCTTTCCCACCCTGCAGCTAACGAGTTCCCATTCTACATAAAATCAGCCCTAGGAATGTGGGGTCAGACACAGGCACCTTCACCTTGGCTAAGCTAGACTTGGGAGGTAGTTGTAACAAGAGTGTGGGGAAAAAAACCTTGGCACACCTCTGCTGAGACCCTTTCAGCTTCCTGGGAGCAGCTCTGCGCTGGGAGCAATGCCACCAGCATCTGCCTTCAGCTAGGAAGTGGAGTAAGAGGCTGTCAAAGAGCAAATGTGATCGAAAACAACACTGCATTAAACTCATAAATGTATAACCAAATGAAACTGTCCAGACTAGCTTGCTATTCAACCTGAATGAACTGCAAAAATAAACCATTCATTTTTACATCCTTTGTAGCAACAGGTAAAGAATTTTTTTTAAATACAATTATCATAACAGTGTCTCTTTAAATTGGGTGCTAGATCACAGGAATCTTCTTCCATAACTTTTTTCCCCCCACTGACCAAAAAATGAAAAATCTGCAGGTCTGTGAAGTATTGTACTCGAAAGAATACTGATGACACAATTTGAAATAAAATAGGATTACAGAATCCGAGTCAGTTACTACATGAGCACTTACAGAGCAAAATTTAATTTTCTTCTACTGCTGGGGTTGATTTGAGAAAAAAGGAGGAAACAAACAGAAAAAAGTGAATATGGGAAAAATTAGAGTCAGAAATGTTAGACTGTTAGTTGAAATTTCTAATTTAAAAAAATCCCTTTAAAGTATGGAATTGTTCAGCCTCTCACCCCACTTCTCACCATCAATATGAAAGCTTATTGGAGAAGTTAAAGCCCTATACTCAATCTCATTGTTAAATTAGTATTTTCAGACTGACCCAAGTTTTGTGGTGTTTTCTTACAGCTACCTTCTCCAGAGCTTCTGAATAAAAGCCACAGCAGTTCCTGACTACTGGAAAATTAGATTCCCTGTTTAATGTTTTATCTTTGTCACTGGCTTTTGGTCTACTGTAGTAGAGTATTACTGCCAATTTTAGTACTGCAGTCTGTAAAACCCTCAATTTTAGATAAAGCTATTATTCACTCTAGTAACACAAAAATCCTGCCCCAAAACCGTCAGTTCTCCAAAAACACCTTTATGAAGCAGTCTCAGCAGCCAGCATCCCTGAGCTGTGCCCCTGGCTTCATTCCACTATTTGCGCACTAAAGTCACTGATGCAAAAATGCTTTTAACTGCCCTATCAATGGTTCACTTAAAAAAACCCTCAGATTTCTAAAACCAAGTAAACAAACAGGGAACAAAGGCACTTGATAGGGGACTGCAACAGGAAGTGGTACTGGTGATTGAGGAGAAGGCTTTCCTCCTCCAGGCTGTGTTTATGCCAGACTTTTTCTTAAAGTGCACTACCACCAGTGAAACTCTTCTGGCAGGGTGCACGATGGTAGACTAGCCATTGGCATTGTACTGCCAGAGCGCTATATACCACTTGTAAACAAATATCTCACTGCATTTGCTGCAAAAATATTGGGGGTGTTCACCCTGGCATGCTGGTCATTTACATTATGCCTTCCAAATAGCTTCCCCCCATCTTGTTTCAACAAAAAGAATGAGGAGTACTTGTGGCACGTTACAGACTAACAAATTTATTTGAGCATAAGCTTTCGTGGGCTAAAACCCACTTCATCGGATGCATGCAGTGGAAAATACAGCAAGAAGATATATATACACACACGGAGAACATGAAAAATGGGTGTTGCCATAACAACTATAACAAGACTACTCAATTAAGGTGGGCTATTATCAGCAGGAGAAAAAAAACCGTTTGTAGTGATAATCAGGATGGCCCATTTCCAACAGTTGACAAGAAGTTGTGAGTAACAATAGGGGAAAAATTAGCATGGGGAAATAGTTTTTACTTTGTGTAATGACCCATCCACTTCCAGTCTTTATTCAAGCCTAATTG